GTGCTGTGATTAAAGGCGTGCGCCACCACGCCTGGCATGTTTCCATCTCGACAGCACCCTCAGCTGACATCCTTTACATTTCTGAAATTGACCTACACACAGACATTTGCTTTAAAGAAGCCGGGAAACAAACTGAACTCTAGCAATCCGCAGCCCGGAGCGTATGGGGGTCAAAGGTCCTGGCACCTACGCCTCAGGTTAAAATGCATCCGAGAAGCTGATCTAGCAGCATCTGAGAGGCTGAGGCAGGAAGATCTTGATTAAAAGACCAGCCTGGGAAATTTAGCAAGGCCCTGTCTCAAAACAAACAAACAAACAAACAAAAAGAGTCTGGTGGTGGCGCACACCTTTAATCCCAGCACTTGGCAGGCAGAGGCAGGTGGGTCTCTGTGGGTCCTAGGCCAGCCTGGGCTACAGAGTGAGACCCTGCCTCAAAAACACAAAACAAAAGAAAAAGGAGGGGTGGGGCATGGCTTGATGGTAGAGCACTGGCCTGGCATGCAAAGGGTCCTGGGTTCAATTCCCAGGGCTACCCAAAACAAAGGTTATAAACTATTTCTAAATATTTCTAGCTAGCTAATATATATCTGTATCTATATCTACACACACGCGCGCACACACACACACACACACACACACACACACACACACACACACACGCACACACCTGTAACCATTTATTCATGAGTGAGCAGTGCCATGTGAGCCTCAGGAGGCGGACTTGGCAGCTGCCTGGAGCTCCCCGTCAGCCCCACAGCCACTGCCGCTCTGAGAGCCTCCCCCTCCCCCAGACGGAATGAGACTGGCCCTGGACTTGTAGAATGTCCTCATAAGAGCTATTCCCTGGATCTGGTTGGTTTTGCAAAGGTGGTTGATGCTTACAAAGGTTTGTAAATGAAGTCACCCCCGCATAGATGGGCTCTGTATAGATTCCAGAATGTGAGGGTGCTCCAGTCCCTGACATAAAATGGAATAGCCGTGGGCCTGGTCACACAGGCCTGCAATCTTAATACTCAGGAGACTGAGGCAGGAGGATTGCTTTGAATTCAAGGACAGCCTGGCCTATAGACTCTGTCTCAAAACAAAACAAAAATATTTTTATTTTATTTTGCTTATTTATTTTGGTTTTTCAAGACAGGGTTTCTCTGTGTAACAGCTCCAGCTGTCCTGGAACTCAGTCTGTAGACCAGGCTGGCCTTGAACTCAGAGATCTGTCTGCCTCTGCCTCCTGAGTGCTGGGACTAAAGGTGTGCACCACCACCAAGCCTGGCCCAAAACAAAAAAATTTAAATGGTGTTTTTTTCTCCAGCAGTTGACTGACCACACAATACCTAATTTAGATTTTGTGGTACAACCTCCATCTTGTTGGCCCATTTGAGAGATGAGGACGGAGGCTGGAAGATGTGGAGTGTCAGCTGACGGAGACATACCTTGTTCAAAGTCTTTTCAGGCCTTAACTCTCCCTGAACGGCCTGAAAGGCCTCCTCCCCACCTGCTCTGACAGGCTCAGTCTGTTCCCTAAATGTTCCACGCTCCACCACACCAGGTCTCCTAGTGGCCTCTTGCCCGAGGCTCTTCCCACTCCTCTCTGGTATGCATCCCCATTTATTAAACCCTTACTGTGTGCCTTTATTGCGCCGAACCTCACACAGACCCAGCATGCTGTCTAATGCCACAACCACCAGCCACATGTGCTACTGATCATTTGAAACGTGGCCTCAGGGACAGGGGATCGAGGCTCTGACTCTTCCCCATCTGTTCCTGACTTAATGTCAGTTCTGACAGTGGGAAGCACTGTTAGCTGGCTGAGAAGAGCCAGGGCCTGCTAGCGGACTTGTCAGCCATGACCATGATGAGATCAAACGCAAATGGAATCTCTCCCCAGGCAGAGCAGCTGCCTGAGTGGTCACCAGAGAAAACCCACACCACAGATCTCAGGCTTAGTGTGGGAAAGAAGCAACTCTACTTAATTCATATCGTAGTTTCTTTTGTTTTTGTTTTTGGGAGATAGGGTCTCACTCTGTAGCCCAGGCTAGCCTCAGGCTTGCAGCAATCCTTCTGCCTCTGCTTCCTCCGTACTGAGATGTCAGGTGTGAGCCTTCTCTTCAACTCATTTGCAGGGTCCAGGAGACATTTACCTGGGAGTTCATGTTGTGTCTAAATAAGTGAGGTATTAGAAAGTGAAGGTGTGACTCAGTCAGTGGCAGAGCCCCTGCTTGGAACTCCCGGGGGGGGGGGGCATGGGGTGTGGGTCAGTGGTAGTGATGTACACAGAGAACTGGGTTCCATCCCACCTAACACAGCCAAAAGGAGGAGGAGCGTTCGAGCTGGAAGACGGCCTGGTCGCTAAACTGCTCCCTGTGCCAGCATGAGCACCTAAGTTTGGATCCTTAGCACGTTGTGAAGCTGGACACTGTGGGGTGTGTGTGTGTGTGTGTGTGTGTGTGTGTGTGTGTGTGTGTGTGTGTGTGTGCGATCTCAGTGTGGTGGTGGGTGTCTGTCTGTATCTCAGTTCTGTGGTGTGAGTCTGTCTGTCTGTATTTCAGTGCTGTGGTGTGAGTCTGTCTGTCTGTATTTCAGTGCTGTGGTGTGAGTCGGTCTGTATTTTAGTACTCTGGTGTGAGTCTGACTGTATTTCAGTGCTGTGGTGTGAGTCTGTCTGTCTTGTTTGTATCTCAGTGCTGTGGTGTGAGTCTGTCTGTCTGTCTGTCTGTATTTCAGTGCTGTGGTGTGAGTCTGACTGTATCTCAGTGCTGTGGTGTGAGTCTGTCTGTCTTGTTTGTATCTCAGTGCTGTGGTGTGAGTCTGTCTGTCTGTCTGTATGTATTTCAGTGCTGTGGTGTGAGTCTGTCTGTCTGTATTTCAGTGCTGTGGTGTGAGTCTGTCTGTCTGTATTTCAGTGCTGTGGTGTGAGTCTGTCTGTCTGTATTTCAGTGCTGTGGTGTGAGTCTGTCTGTCTGTATTTTAGTGTTGTGGTGTGAGTCTGTCTGTCTGTATTTTAGTGCTGTGGTGTGAGTCTGTCTGTCTTGTTTGTATCTCAGTGCTGTGGTGTGAGTCTGTCTGTCTGTCTGTATTTCAGTGCTGTGGTGTGAGTCTGTCTGTCTGTATTTTAGTGCTGTGGTGTGAGTCTGTCTGTCTGTATTTCAGTGCTGTGGTGTGAGTCTGTCTGTCTGTCTGTATTTCAGTGCTGTGGTGAGTCTGTCTGTCTGTATTTTAGTGCTGCGGTAGGGCAGAGAAAAGTAGATTCCTGGGACTCTGACCAACCGATCTAGACAAAATGGAGAGCTCCAGTGTCTCTGAGAGAGACTCAGCCTCAACAAATAAGGGAGTTAGAGACTCAGCAGTAAAAGGCACTTGGTGCTCTCGCAAGGGACATCGTTTGGATCCCAGAACTCATGTCAGGCGGATGGCAACCGCCTATAACTCCACTCCAAGGGATCTGGTGCCCTCTTCTGGCATCCTATGGCGCCTGCACAAACATGGTACACACATGTGCGCATGCGCACGTATGTACACACACACACACACACACACACACACACAGATAAAAAATGTGGAAAGTAGTAAAGGAAGACACCAATCTACATTCACAGGTGAGTACACCAGCACACACGTGTGCACACAATACCTACAACATATCAGAAACACATACACAGAGAGAGAGAGAGAGAGAGAGAGAGAGAGAGAGAGAGAGAGAGAGAGAGAGAGAAGGAAAGAGTTAGCCAGGCATGGTGGCACACGCCTTTAATCCCAGCCCTCAGGAGGCACAGGCAGGCAGATCTCTGTGAGTTCGAGGCCAGCCTGGTCTACAGAGTGAGTTCCAGGACAGCCAGGACTACACAGGGAAACCTTGTTTCAAGCAAGCAAGCAAACAAACACAAAAAAGAAAGAAGAGAAGAAGAAGGAAGGCAGAGGAGAAGGAAGGCCGTGCTGCATAGGAGGGAGCCTGTGAGTGGGCCCTGGGCTCAGGCTGCCTGGGGTGTGTTCTCAGGCACCTCCTAGTTTCTCTTTCTCCACCTGCCCCCCATTTCCTGGCTCAAGAGGACTCACTGGCAGTTGGAAAGGAAGTAGGAAAAATAAAATCTCCAAACCAGCTAAGACTGACAACTCACTGCTGCCACTTCCCAGCAGCACTTGAGAGTCTGAGGCAGAAGGACTGCCATGAGTTCAAGGCTAGCCTGGGCTACACAAGGAGACCCTGTCTGGAGAGGTGGCTCAGTGGTTAAAAATGCATGCTGCTCCATTCCCCATCCAGCTGATTGGGGTTTAGCTCTCAGCACCCACACTGGGCAGCTCACAACTGCCTATAGCTACAGACTGAGGGGTCTGACTTTCCTGGCCTCTGTGGGCATCCACACTCTTGGGCGCACACACAAACACACACATATACAGAAATACACAAAATAAAATAAGTTAATTAATCTTTGAAAAAAATCAACAAACGGCCATTCCCCTCATACAATCCCTCCACAGAACAGACAGCTCCTACCAATCTCATCCCCCAGCTGCCCCTAATTTATAGACACTGCAGCTTCTCTGGGTCTTGTTGAGTAAGCGGCAAGGTAGGTAGCCTTTGAGCTCGGGTTGCCTGGTCCCTACTTTCCTGGCCCTGGTCCCCTCTTGAGGCTTCTGGCTCAGATCTCCCCGATGCTGCTTGGATGCCCCTTGTCGCCTCAGCGTTTGATGCCACTGATGTCTTTGGCTCCTACATGTCCTCCTAGAGTGATCCCACACACTGGGAGTTTCCACTCCCAAGCCCCTGTCTTGTGAGAACCACAAGTCCTCACAGGACTGTAAGGCATGGCGGAGGGGACTGCCTTGGGTCTTTGTGGGCTACAAACAACTCCTGCTTTTTTTTTTTTTTTTTTTTTTTCCTGAGACACGATTACTCTGTGTAGCCCTGGCTGTCCTGGAACTCACTCTGTAGACCAGGCTGGCCTTGAACTCAGAGATCCACCTGCTTCTGCCTCCTGAGTGCTGGGATCTAAGATGTGAGCCACCAGCTCCTGGCCATCTCTTGCTTCTTACCTCTACTCTGCCCACTTGAGCTCCAGGTAGGCACCACTGGCCTCTTTATTGCTTAAAACCTATCTATTATTGCTTAATAGATTCTCCAGCAGAGAACCCAGCTCCATGGTAAAAGTCTGTGAAATCTCCCTCAGTGTTGAGCTGTAAAACCAGAGATAGAAACTGCTGGGAAGGTTGGGCATTCCAACTGTTCAAGAGGTAGGGGCAAGAGGATCCTAAGTTCAAGGCCAGCGTGGACAACTTAGCAAGATTATGTCCCTAAATAAAAAGTAAAAAGACAGTGGGAGTGGGTCCATGGATAAAGTCACTTGCTGCCAAGTCTGAGGACTTGAGTTCCATCCCTGGGACCGGCATGATGGATGGAAGGCGAGAACCAACTCCATGGAGTTGTCTTCTGACCTCCCTATGTGTGTCGTGACAGTCACAGGTCCGTCCACGAGTACAGAGAAAGAAACAAACATAATAAAATGATTGTAAAGAGAATGCTGGTGGCATGGCTCAGTGGTAAGGCACTTGTGAGGCTCAGTGTTCAGTACCTAACACCAGAAAAAAATAAAAGCACCCTAAGACATTACTGGGTGGGAAGAGTTCTCTACACCCAGGCACACAAGCCGGTGGCTTCTCTGGCTGTCTGCTCTAGACTTCCTGAAGCTGGGGTGCTCATTAAGCCTCCCAGCTACAGAGGGCTGCAGTCCTTCTATGTTCTGCCCCTTCCCACCTTCCTTATACCCAAATTTAGGGAAGGAGAGATTCCCTTTCTGTCATTGAGATCTTGGCTTCACACTAATTACATCTGGGTGATCTTAGGCAACCCTCTTAATTTCCCAGGGTCTCAGTTTCTTCGATGGGATGCTGATATTTGGGCATTCATCTGCGTTCCTCTCACTGGTCAGGCCACAAGGAGGATTAACTCAAACAATACTCGGAAGATACGCTGCTAGCATGGATGAAAAACTTGGGCTCCTTGTCACAATGGTTCTGCCACCTGTCCTTGCCTTGCCCACCTCCCGAATCTCTCTCCTCTTATCTCCTCCTCCTCCTTTCTTAAAAGACAAGGTCCTCATGTAGCCTTGTCTGGCCTTGAACTCGCTCTGTAGCCAAGAATGACCTTGATCTCTCCATCCTCTGCTCCAGAGTGCTGGGATATCTGGCTGGTGTGGTGTAGGGCTTCATGCATGCCAGGAAAGCTCTCAACACTGAGCCATGCCCCCAGGTTTATTCTGTCCTTTACAGTCCTCCAGATCCATGTGAGGCTGTGAGGCTTCATTCATATAAAGCACGCTCCATCACCAACCCCATTATCTAGAACATTCCAAGAGCTGCATCTTGCTGAGTCTCCTTTAGCCCAAATTAAATCCTGGACAGTTTGCATCACATAATCTAGAACAGATCATGGCTCACCTGTTCTTATTTAAGAGGCTTAAAAATGGAAACGTTTGTTGCCTCTGGGGTGTGGTAGGATGAGGTGCTGCCCTTCGCCCTATGGGATTCTGCCGATGCCCTCTGTCCACCACGCCTGGTGCCTCCTGAAGTCCTGACTCACCCCAAGATCAAAGGTTTCCTAATCTCACTCTTCAGTTTACTCTTTCATTCCTGGCCATTGCTCTAGAGTTTCCTACACCTGTCCGTGACAGGCTGTCATGGTGCCCAGGACAGGAAAGATCTGAAGATGGACCATGGCAATCTGGGTTTTGTGGGCTACTCCCTTTCCCCTCCAGGAACCCTAAACAGCTGAGGTTTGAATTTCAAAATTACATCTTGAAGCCTGAGAAGCAGTTTGGCCAATAAAAGAGAGAGCAGAGATTGCCAGGGAGGGGGAAGGGAAGCACACAGACCCAGAGATGGGCTATGGGTATGGGGGGGCCCACTGTGGGAGAGGAGAGCTGGGATGTGGGGAGCAGATGAGGGGGCTCATACCTGTTTCTACCTCAAACCAGATCCACCCTGTTCTGATTCCTGTTACATATTTAGGCTCAGGAAATTCCATCTGAACAAAACAATTCAAAACCTTAAAACAGCTTCAGAGGCCATAGCCCTGGTTGCTGGGGAACCATAGAAGACATAAAGTCGGGACTAGGGTGGACTTGGGGTTTAGAAATGAAGCTTTCTGGAAGTTTCCACAGAGAAAAAAAAATCCCAAAACAGGATGTGCAAAGGCACCAGGGCAGGGAGGATGGGGTGTGACTAGGGAACCCAAAGTCGTGGGGTGAATGGAATGCAGGGGAGAGGACAGCCATGGGGTGGGGGTGGGGCCCGGAGGGGCCTGGATGCTAGCAGGATGGGTGAGGCCGCACTGCGCCGCCGACCGCTGGGTCGGGAGGCTGGGGAGAGGCTCCAGAGGGGCATGATGGGCCGCAGAAGAGTCTGGGACAGGGAGGTGTGAGGTGGGTACTGACAGGCCATGGAGACACCAGGAAAAGTGGGAAGCAGGGCTGTGGAGAGAGGCCACAAGAGGAGGAGGAGGAACTGAAGCCCGTCCATGTCCAGAGTGACAGTGCTGAGGTACGGAGAGAGCAAATGACGACACTCACTTGCAGAAAACAGGCATTCCAGGAACTTGGCCCGAGTGGGCAGAAGAGCAGAGGAAGGTGCCAGGTCAGAGAAGGGCTGAAGGCAGGTACAGAGAAGAGAATGTTCAACCAAAGCCCGGGGTCCAGAGATGCCAGGAGGCTTGTCTAGGTCACACAGCAATCAGGACTCAACTACCTGGTCCCTGGAGTTCCTCAGTGCCTCTCCACACCCTGGCTCCTGGCTGAGGCAGGGGAAGGGAGGACTTGGAACAGTACCATATTGGAGTGAAGTAACCGGGGTGAGGACAGGGCTTAGTTGTCGCCCTCCTGCAAGCGAGCGCGCCCACACACACCCACTCACATACAGCTCGGGGTACCAGAGGGTCCTGGGAGGGCACAAGAGTCCTGCCTTGTAAGAGTGTAAAAGGAGTTGATGGTGAGGTCGTCAGCTCACTGTGCGATCTGAGGGGAGCTACAAACGCTTTCTGGGTTTCTGCCTGCTTAGTCGAAGGGAAGCCAAGGGGAGGGGCGTGGAGAGGTTTCAAAGGCACCAGGAGAGGGGGCTCGTGATCAGATCACTTCCTGCCCTGCCTCAGTTTCTCCATCTGGTAAGTGGGTACTCTCCGAGTGTCCCGCTTATCTCCAGGAACAGAGGAACTATGCACACTCCCTACATGAGGAGAGAGGTCGGCCCTAATCCTCTTGGTGTCCAAGACCCATTTTCCCCTCCGTGAGCATCCCATGCTCCCTGATGTCTCCTAGATGGAGTAGGAGCACATGAGAAGTGAGCTTTATTGGGGGTCCCCAGCTGATGTAGGATTCAGCAACCTTGGTCTTTCGCAGCTTCTAGGGACCAGGCTCCCAGTTCCCCTTACCCAATTTAGGTTAGCAAAGGCCCTGCCCCCCTCCCCACAACAGAACAACCGGAGCGCGAGAGAGGCATCCCATGCCTCAATGAATCCAGTGGGGGTCCCTCCCTGGCCAGGGCCTGACCCCACCCTCCCCAGGCCCTGGCAAGCTCGCCGGCCGCCTCACCTAATTTCGGAGACACTGTCCTCGAACGTGCCCCACAGGGCCGGCGGCTGTGGCCCGTCCATGGCGGGCAGGGCAGGAGCTAGCCGGGCGGGCGTCGGGGCCAGGTGCGCAGCGTCTGCGGCGCCCGCCAGTGCCAGGTGCCTACCAGGCCGGCCCAGGGGAGGGGCACAGCCGGTTCTCCCAGCTGCTGCCCACGCCTCCTGCCGGCGGCGGCAGGGAGGGAGAGGCTGGTGCCCTCCCAGGGCGAGGGTGGAGGCTCCACGCGACCAGAGTCCAGGGCCAGCTGTGGGGACTTCCGGCTGTCCCCCGGTGGCTGCGGCAGCCCAGCCTAGCTGCTGTCACCGGCCAGCCGCCCTCTTCGTTTTGAAAGTTTTGCCGCGCACCTCCTGCGGTGCTGGGCCCTGGGCGTGCTGGGGAAGAGCAGTGTCCACCTTGTGGTCTGAGTTTCTAAGATGGAGAGACAAGAGACAGGTGCAGCCAGGGCAGGACAAAAGGATTACTACCGTCAGAGATAAGGACAGAGACAGAGAGACAGAGAGCATCTCAGAGGCAGAAAGAGGGACCGAGACAGTGAGAGACACAGAGACAGAGAGCATCTCAGAGGCAGAAAGAGGGACCGAGACAGTGAGAGACACAGAGACAGAGAGCATCTCAGAGGCAGAAAGAGGGACCGAGACAGTGAGAGACACAGAGACTCACAGAGATAGTCAAAGACGGGGAGAGGCAGAAACAGTGAGAAAGATATGCACAGATGGTCAGAAACAGAGACAGAGAAGCACACAGAGACAGTGGGAGACAAGCAGAGAGACAAACAGACAGAGACACCCTTCCTAAAGGCTTTGTTTATCACCTACGTCACAAGGACAGGACTGCCCCATGTGTATCAGCTACAGCTTCCCAAGGAAGAACTTGGGGTGTTGGAGACCTGCTGGTGGACCGAGCCGCTGCCCAGAGAGAGGAGCGAGGGACGGGGGTGGATGCCAGGGTCAGTTGAGTCTCTGAGCACATGGAAGGCGGTGAGCAGATTCAGAACTTACAAGAGGGCTTCAGAACCTGAGGGGCACAGAGGGACATCTCAGGCAACGATGATGGGAGGGATGTTGATGGAGGCCGCCATGCCCCCGATATAGTAGGGGCCGTGGGCACCTGGGCTCCAGGAAGAGATTTGAGGGTGGAGACCGCAGCAGAGGAAGGGGCCTCACAGCACCTGGAGTGGGTGGAGGAGCAAAGCTCCAGTGAGAGCATTCCCCACCCTACCCCCCAGCCACCTGCTTTGGTGTGAATACGATTTCTTCTCTGGAAGAGCTCAAGCCCCAAAGCCTTTGTTGCTGGTATTATGAGAGTGGAAACTTAATCCAACCATGATGTGTAGAGGCCAGGCCTTTGGGAAGTGATTAGGCGAGATTAGGTCACCAAGGTGGAGCCCCTTCCCCCCAACATCCCAGGTGGCTTTAGGAGAGGTTTAGGCCTGCTCCTTCCAGGTCTGGGAGCCAAAACCAACCTTTTTCCTTATAAAACAGCCTGACTCCAGTATTTTCTTATATTAATGAAAAGCTGACTAATAAACATCCATTGAATCATTCATTCCTCCATTCACAAATCTACCCATTCACACACTGACCCACCCATTCACCAGCTCATTTACTCCACCCACTCATGAATCCATCCTCCTGTACATTCATACATTCATCTATCCACACTCCAATATACCCAGTCATCTGTTCACTTATCTATTCATATATCTGCCCACTCACCCACCCATCTACACACCACCCCCTACCCATCTGTCCATCTATCAATGTATGCACATTACATCCATGCAAGCACCCACTTACCCATTCATTCATTCATTCATTCATTCATTCATTCATTCACCAATCCATCCATGCACCTATCTATCTGTCTACATATCGATACACTCATTCGTATATCTACTAACTTATCTGTTCATTCATCCACACATCCACTCATCTTCCTTCTATCTCTCTATCTATTCACCCAGCTTCCCACCCATCTAATCTTGAATCTATCAACACTTCAATCCATTTACCCATCCATCCATCCACTAATCTACCCATCCACCCATTACTCACTCACCCATCTACAGATCCACCTACTCATCTACCATTCATTTATACATTCACTGATACACCCATCTACTCATCTACTCATCTACTCATTTATCAGTCCATCTATGAGTCTATCATTGAACTCAATCCATCCACCTACCCACTTATCCACCATTGATCCTCCTACCCATCTATCCATTCACCGTCCATCTATCCATTGTTGCTCCTATATATCCACCTACCCACCTATTCATCATCCATCTACCCTTGATGCATCCATCCACTCACTGATCCATATCTGCAGCCACCCACCAATGCAACCATTTAACCGCCCATCCATCTATCTACTCTTGCTGCATTCCTCTGCTCATGTGCCCATTCATCTATCTATCTACCCATATACCTACCAAACCCTTTAATCATTTATCCGTTCACTCACTCAACCACCTATCAGTAAATCCATCCTTATACTCACCGACTTATCCATCCATCTGTCCTCCCATTCACTCATCCGCACATCCAATCATTTATTCCTCAGTGAACATACCCATCCATCCAATCATCCATTCACCAAACCATTCATCTGATAATCATACATTCACATCATCCATCTACCCGTTTATCCATCGACCCATCCGTGCATCTGCCCACCAACCAATCTTTCCACTCATCTACTCACTTACATTCCTACCCGCCCACCCCTTCATCCCCCATCCATGGACATACCCACTACTTCATTCTCCCAGCCATGTACAAGTGTTCCATCTGCCATCCACTCATACACACATCCTCCCTCCGTCCTTCCACCCATCCACACATATTCATCCACATACCCACATCCATCCAACCACCTGTCCATCTTTGTGTTCATCCATCCAGTCACAGACCCAACCAGACCCAATCATTGATCTACCACCATTCATTCAGCTATCAATATTTTCTAAATTTTATTTTATTGCGTGGGTGGTTTTTTTTTTTTTTTTTTTTTTTTTTTTTGGTTTTTCAAACAGGGTTTCTCTGTGTAGCTTTGCGCCTTTCCTGGAACTCACTTGGCAGTCCAGGCTGGCCTCGAACTCACAGAGATCCACCTGCCTCTGCCTCCCGAGTGCTGGGATTAAAGGCGTGAGCCACCACCGCCCGGCACGTGGGTATTTTTGCCTGCATTTATATCTGTGCACCACATTTATGCCTGATGCCTAAGGAAGCCAGAAGAAGGCATCAGATCCCCTGGGACTTGAGTTACAGATGCTTGTTAGCTACTGTGTGGGTGCTGGGAACTGAACCTGGGTCCTCTGGAAGAGTAACAAGTGCTCTTTACCAGTGAGCCATCTCTCTAGCTCTAGATATCAATCTTTCAATTTATCAGTCCAGTCACCCACACATACAGCTATCCATCCATCTATCTATCAACTCATCCCACCCACCTCTCTATCCAAATCAATCCATCCTTTATTCATCCATCCACCTGCCCTCCCTTCAGCTAGTCTCTGGAGAGGCCCACAGTGAGTCAGGTAAGTAGACATAGCTCTGAGCTAATCTGACTATTTAGAACTTGAATTGAGGTACATGTCGTTAAGAAAGTACAAACTTTCAATTATAGTCCTTTCAATTAATTTAAATAGCAGCATGCTTTGCTGAGATTACACGCTAATTAAACCATTGAAAATTGGGCATTAGACCTATACAATATCTCAATAAATTTGATATGAATTGTATGTTGAAATAATCTTAGATTAAATAAGTTACATTTCCAAAATTAATTTCACACATCTTTTTTCAACGTTCAAAAATAATTTTTGAAGATTTTACTTTATTTTTTAAGTTATATATATATGTCTGTGTTTGGGAATGTGCACGTGAGTACAGGGGTGCCCAAGGAAGCTAGAAGAGGGCATTGGATCCCCTAGAACTGGAGTCACAGATAGTTGTGAGCTCTGGTCCTCTGTGAGGGAAGTGTGTGCCCTTAACTCTCCAACCTTTTTTCACTTTAAAAAAAATATGATGTGGTGATGCTGCAGAAACGGCTCACTGGTTGAGAGCACAGAGAGCCAGGTGTGGTGGTACATGCCTTCAACCCAGCATTGAGAAGGCAGATGCGGGTGGATCACTGAGAATTTGAGAGTAGATTATCTCCTGTCTGCATAGCCAGTTCCAGGACTACACACAGAAACCCTGTACAAAAAAAAAGTAAAGAAAAAAAGAAAAGGAAAGAAAGAAAGAAGGAAGGAATGAGAAAGAGAAAGAGAGACAGACAGACAGAGACAGAGAGACAGACAGAGAGACAGACAGATAGACAGGCTCCAGGGCATCTGACACCATCTTCTGGTCTCCAAAGGCATGCACTCACGTACACAAACCCACACATATTACTAACTAAACCTAAAGATAATTTTTTGTTTGTTTGTTTGTTTTGAGACAGGGTTTCTCTGTGTAGCCCTGGCTGTCCTGGAAATTACTCTGTAGACCAGGCTGGCCTCAAATTCAGAGATCTGCCTGCCTCTGCCTCTCAAGTGCTGGGATTAAAGGTGTGTGTCACTATGTCCAGTAATAAAATTTTTTTTTTTTTTTTTTTTTTTTTGGTTTTTCGAGACAGGGTTTCTCTGTGTAGCTTTGCGCCTTTCCTGGTACTCGCTTTGGAGACCAGGCTGGCCTCGAACTCACAGAGATCCGCCTGGCTCTGCCTCCCGAGTGCTGGGATTAAAGGCGTGCGCCACCACCGCCCGGCAAAATATTTTTGATAGGCATTAAAAACACGGTGTGGTGATGCACGTTTGTGACTTCACACTCCAGAGGCTGGAGCGGGAGTCTTGATTTTGAAGTCAGTCTTTGTTATACAGAATGAGGCCCTGTCTCAAAAGTGATCACAAAGTGTTAAGAGTTATGTGATGGGGGCTGGAGAAAACAGCTCAGCAGTTAAAAGCACTGGCTGCTTTTGCAGAGGACCCAGGTTCAGTTCACAACCACCTTCAACTCTAGTTCCAGGAAATCTGATGCCTTCTTCTGACCTCTGAGGGCACCAGGCACATACATAGTACACAGACATACATGCAGGCAAAATACTCATACTCATGTGTAAAATAAAATAAAATAAATTTAAAAAGAAAAGCTACATGATAGATTAGGTAGGAAATAGCTCAGTTTGTAAAGTACTTTTGCTGGGCAAACACGAAGACCTGAATTTGGACCCTCACAAGCCAGGTAAAAAGCTAGATCTGGCAGTAAGTGCCTGTGGTCTCCAGCACTGAGGTAAGAGGTTGGGGCTTGCTGATCAGCCTGTCTATTCTTACCAGGGAGTCCCAGGTCACAGTGACAGAGACAGAGACCCTGTCTCCATACAAAGGTGGATGGCTCCATACAAAGACAGCTGGAGTTGAATGCTGGCCTGTACACACACACACACACACACACACACACACACACACACACACACACGAATACATTGTTGCAGATAGGTAGATGAACGGGTTGGAGGGATGCCTGTATAGGTAGGCACGATGATGTCCATGTGTCTCCTGATTGTGGTTTCAGCCTGTATAGGGAAAACTGCGGGCAGATGGTACAGCAGGGCGAGATCTGAGTGGACAGGCCTGGTGGGACAAAGGCTGGAGAGATGCTCGGGGGGCGGGGGGGGTTGTCCCTCCAGCCACAGAGGGAAGCCTTGTTGTTCTGGCCATGGATGGTGACATCTGGAGACATATCCATCCCTGGTGACAGTGGGGATGGGCATCCCTGGCCCAGAGCTCAGTGTCATTTCTTCGCTTCCTCTAGCTGTGTGTTAGGCCCTTCCCCCAGCACAGCAGTGTGCCGTTTTGCTGATGGAGTTCACGTGTGGGAGAGGGAGGTCACTGGGTCATGAGGCCATGTATCCAAAGAATCAGGCCATTATCACCTTCAGAGCCCAGCCTTTCCATTAAAATCCAGTAATTGCCAAAAATACCAGGAGCGCTCAGTCTGTGAGAGGCAGGGCTCCCCAGAGGGCGAGGCTGGGGCTTCAATCCTGAGTCAGGGAGGAGGAACCTGAACGGGGTGGGGATGGGACAGGGCAGGGATGAGTCTGGGTTCCCAGAGCTCCAGGACCCAGACAGCTGAAAATGAACATTGAACACCCCAGTCCTGGAAATGGAAAATTATGGGAGAAGTCCCGCTGTCCCCAGGCTACTGTAGGGTCCCTCTGGGGGAGGAAATGAAGACCTCACACAGGGTGGGGTGAGAGGTGGGCCGCTGACACCCCGAGTTGGCTCTACTTGCCTTCTGTCCCCCCTCTAATCAGCCAGTCCATCATGAGGTGGGTGGTGTGGCAGAAACCCCACCTTCTCTCCACCCTGATAGCTCCATGCAGAGGAGCTGCCGCCCTGGGCACCCCCACCCAGCCCTGCTTCACCACTGCACGGGGTTCAAGGCCACGCAGAAGCCCCACACCTGTCACCGCTCAGGAGGAATGGCCTGGCCTAGGGCTGGTGGACACCGAGAGGGATGCTCAGAACAAGAAAACCTGGGTCCTGATAGGCCGCCTGGCCACAGAGGAGATCGGTGGAGGCAGACAGGTATGCAGAGAACAGAAAAGGTAAGAATGCCCAGGGATTCACTGGGGGAGTGTGTGAGCCAGAGCGTGGGGCCTGGGTCTAGTCTGAGGGAGGAGGTCTGGACCCCTGCATCTGACCAAGAAAGGCTGGGTCTAGACCCACAGGTCCGAGGGAGAGGAATTTCACTTGTGCCAGGGAGGAGACAGGCACAGCCTGTTTTAAATACGGGTGTGGCATGGGGGGGTTGTCGGGTTTGCAGGAGGGCCAGGGATCAAGGCGCTACCTCTCCCTCCACGGGACCCAAGACTGTCTTAGCACCTTTCCGGTGCAGTCAATGCCAGACGCAGGGACCAGCCAAACCCGCTGTACCAGTTAGGCACCCCCGTGTCCCCCTCCCCATCCTCTCCTTCCCCTGCAGTGTCTCCCGCAAGGCCCAGCCCAAGAAAGGGTGCGTAGGCAGACTCAAGTGGGAGAACAGGACGCCCCAATTCCTGGCTCAGCCTTCCACCTCCTGCCTCCTGGCGGCCCATCCCTGCCCCACACCCCTGCCTTCAGGGGCCTGTGCTTCCTCCTTGTCCCTTGGTTCCCCAAAACCTGTTGCTCCAAAGTTCCACCTCCCTCTTTCTTCCTGTTCCCTGTGCACTCTGAGTTACTCACTAGATGCTCTGCAGAGCATCTGCTGTGTGCCTGGCCCTGTTCACGGCTCTTGGACGGACCGGGGGAAGAAATGATAATGGCCCAGAGAGGCTGAGGCAGGAGGAACCCTGCAAGGTCCAGGCCATCTGGGGTACTTAGTAAATTCCAAACCACGCAGAGCTCTGGAGTAGGACTTAGTCTCAAAAAATTTAAAACTTCCAACCAGGAGGTGGAGACAGAAGGATAGGGCATTCAAGGTCTGCTACATGGTGAGTTCTAGGCCAGCCTGAGCTACATGAGACCCTACTTAAAAACAAACAAACAACAACAACAACCACCACCCCCCGCCAGCGGGGATGGAGAGATGGCTGCATGGTCCAGAGCAGGTATTGCTCTGGCAGAGGACCCAAGTTCAGTCCCCAGTGCTCATGTGAGGTGCCTCTTTCTTTCTTTCTTTCTTTTCTTTTTCTTTTTTTCTTTTTTCTTTTTTCTTTTTCCAGACAGGGTTTCTCTGTGTAGCGTTGGAGCCTGTCCTGGATCTCGCTCTGTAGTCCAGGCTGGCCTCGAACTCACAGAGTTCCGCCTGGCTCTGCCTCTTGAGTGCTGGGATTAAAGGCGTGCGCCGCCACCACCGCCCGGCCATGAGGTGTCTCTTATCCACCTGCAACCCCAGCCCCAAGAATCTGATGCCCACTTCTGCCCGCCTTGAGCACCTGAACTCATGTGCACATACCCAGCACAGACACACAAGCATACACATAAATAAAAACAAACCTCACTAAATTTAAATGTGTTCTGTTACAGCAGCGTACACTGTTGATACAATGTTGAAAAGGAGACACAACACCAGACAGTCACAGGAATTGACACGAAGGGACAAGTAATGGAAGAAGATTCAGGGCAGCCGAGGGGCCTGGACTGTTCACCTGGGCAGTTTAGCTCGGCCTGTGGGGCATCTGGGCACAGGTGACCTTGCAGTCACGATACCAACTGTAGCTGACTGGAGACATGTTACAGGCATGGGGAAGAGCCAGTGTGGAGGCCCTGTGGTCACAGGGACCTAGAGAGCTGAAGGAAAGTGGGGGGTTGGTGTGGCTGTGGCTGAGGACAAATGGAGAGCTGAGACTCCATACAGAGCTGTGTGTCAATTATAAATGACATCCCTTCTCAAGTGAAAAAAAAATTAGAGTTTTTATTTTTGCTGGGTGCCACATGCTTGTAATGCAGAGGCAGGAGGATCTCTGCAAGTTTGAAGCCAACCAGGGCAACATAGTGAGAGCCTTCATCAAAAAAAAAAAAAAAAAAAAGACTTATTTTTTTTTCTAAATTATGCATATGTGTGTGTGCGTATGAGTGCAGCTGCCTTCGGAGGCCAGAAGAGAGTTGTTGGGTCCCCTGGAGGTGGAGTTATAGGTGAGTGTGAGTGTGCAACGTGGGTGCTGGGAACCAAACTTGGATTTTTTTTTTTTTTTTATTTTTTGACCCAGGGTTTCTCTGTGTAGTTTTGGTGCCTGTCCTGGATCTCACTTTGTTCACCAGGCTGGCCTTGAACTCACAGAGATCCGCCTGCCTCTGCCTCCCGAGTGCTGGGATTAAAGGCGTGCGCCACCACCGCCCGGCCAGTACATGCACTTAACTACTGAGTCATTTCTTCAGCTTCTCAAATTAATTTTAAAATAATATTAGCTATCAGTGACGCTTGATGGTGCTTGTCTATAATCTCAGCACCCAGGAGGCTGAGTCCAGGAGATCTTGAAATCAAGGGCCACCTGGCTATGCGACAGGACCGAGATTCAACACAGACAAGGCAGTTTGTGTGTGGTTCTGCAACCCTGTGACTGGGAATACAGCATCAGGGAGAAAAATAAGACAGGCAGGAGACTTTAGGGGTCGGGGACCAGCTACATTGAATTTCTATTAACTGAGTGCAGGGGCTGCAGAAATGGCCGTCCTTTCCGAGGACTGGAGTTTGGGTCCAAGCATCCTCTGACGCTCTCTTCTGGCCTCTCACAGACACTTACACGCATGCGTATGCCTCCATGCAGCGGTCCACATAAACAAATGATACAGTAATATCCCTAACAGTGTGTGCACCGACATCTGAACATCTTCCCGGTAGAGGAAGGAAACGGGGCAGGGTAGGGTGGCTTAAGAGGAGACGGTGGACCGGGATTGTAAGGCGGCGCCTCCCAGTGGGCAGAACGGAGCCGGACTGTCCAGGCCCCCTTCTCCCAACGGAGGGAAACTGGGGAGCCTTGCCAACAACACTCAGGCTGGTACCAGCACAAGGACAAATACCCAGGAACACAGCCCCCTGCCACAAGATGGTCGGTTTCATTGGTCAAACACACAGGTGGGACGTCCTCAGTGTTCACTCCTGGAAGAGATGAACAAAGCTACTTAGTAACTGCCCGGAAGCCCTCCTGAGGCCACCCCTCGTCCACAGAGGCAGACCTGACACAGGGTGCCACATATTCCAGCTGGTGTCAAGCTGTTTGAGGCCCCGGTGAGAGCAACGAATTGGGCATAAGGCAAAAATGTTGTGAGTCCTTCCAGGATCACAAGAAGCACCTGCGCTCCTGGGACCCTAAGCTTTACCCAATGCAAAGCTGTTCTCGTTTATTTCTGCAATGCTGGCATCAAACCCAAGGTGTTACATGGGTAGGCAAGCGCTCTGCACCGAACTCTCTCTGGTTTACAGTGCCGCACCTGTAATTTTTCATTTTGAGACGGAGAGTCTCGCTAAGTTACCTGGCCGACCCTTGAACTCCCATCTTCCCGCTTCTGCCTCCCAATTGCTGAGGATTTGGGCAACATCACCACAAGGAGAATTAATCGTAAACAGGAGCTACAAGGACAGAATCTCAGGTCTGATTTGGGACACACCTGCTGACCTGTAAGGTGTGCTCTGGGGCTGCGGTTTAAAATAATGAGTGGCTAACATGCCGTCCCCATCTGTAATCCCAGCACGCAGGAGGTGGAAGCAGGCAGATCAGCTCAAGGCCATCCTTACCTGCATAGTGAGCATGTGACCAGCCTGGATTACATGAGACCTTGTCTCTCACAAAACCCAAAACCAACCAAAACAAAATAATCCATATCAGCAGCCTTCATTCCTGGCTCTCCTGCCTCAGGTTGAAGGAGCCTGGGTTGGAGGTCCAGGTACTCTCTGTGCTGCAGGTAGGATTCCTGGGATCCACAAACTTGCGTAATAAACAATTGCCTGTTTTTCTCCCTGATCTGCAGGTGAAGTTGCCCCTCATCGCCCCTTGCCTGAAAAGCCTCTCTGTTCCTAAGGCAGCTGTACGGTTAGCATTGCCCCTTCCTCATGCCCTTTAGACCCGGCCCTTCCTATTGGGAGGTGAGGTTTACATCTTTGGCACTTTGAACCCAAGGCTCCTGTGATTATTAGGATTCAGCGGAAGTAATAAAAAGTCCTGATTGGGCTGGGTGTGGTGGCACACGCTTATAATCTCAGCTCTCTGAAGATGGAGCTGGGAGGGTCATCCTCTACTACGCAGTGAGTTTGAGGTCACTGTGGGTAACATGAAGCCAAGTCATGCTTTGTTCTTTAGGGACCAGTCTTACTACTCAGTCTCCATGCTGTGAGGAAACCCAAGAATCCCCGAAAGAGGAAGCTTCCATCAAGAGGAGTGAGGCCCCACCCGAGCCCTGGAGCTGTGAGCCAACACTGAATGAATCCCCAGCTTCCAGGGAGAGCTGTATCCACTGAGCTCCACCCAGACTGCAGAGGCCACAGCAGAGTGAGGAGTTGCAGTCAGGGTCACAGGTCCAGGTGGTACATAATACCCAGCACTTGGTAATCAGCATGGAAAGCACAGTCACAATGCAGGCCAAAGGCCACAGCCCCAGTTACATGACTAACACCAGTGAGTTTATTCTGGATTTTCTTACTGTAATCACTCAAACCTCTGATATTTCCAGTCCTGTACTGGCTGCTGCAGATATTTGAAGTCTGGCTTAGCTTCCTCCTCATTTCAAAATAGCAGTTTACAGAAGAAGTCAGTGCACAGAAGTTCAAACACTGGGGAAACGCATCCTGTGTTCCTTTTGATAATTGTGTTTCCTGAGGCTACTTTTGCAACTTGACAAGTTATTTGTATTTATTAAATTTTGCAGTGTTAGGTGTGGAACCCAAGGTTTCAGTCAAGTTCTCTACTGCTGAGCCACATGCCCACCAGCTCTCCACGGTCAGGACAGCTCAGAGAAGGATTTAAAAATGGTGTATATGGGCCGGGCGGTGGTGGCGCACGCCTTTAATCCCAGCACTCGGGAGGCAGAGGCAGGCGGATCTCTGTGAGTTCGAGGCCAGCCTGGGCTACCAAGTGAGTTCCAGGAAAGGCGCAAAGCTACACAGAGAAACCCTGTCTCGAAAAACCAAAAAAAAAAAAAAAAAAAAAAAATGGTGTATATGGGGCCAGGAATAGTGGTGCACACCTTTAATCCCAGCACTCGGGAGGCAGAGGCAGGTAGAGCTCTGTGAGTTCGAGGCCAGCCTGGGCTATAGAGCAAGTTCCAGGAAAGCCAGAGCTACTCAGAGAAACCCTGTCTCGGAAGAAAAAGAAAAGAAAAGAAAAATGAAGGAAGGAAGGAAGGAAGGAAGGAAGGAAGGAAGGAAGGAAGGAAGGAAGGAAGGAAAGATGGAAGGAAGGAAGGAAGAGGGGCCCACTTTGTGGCCCAGGCTGGCTTCCAACCTGTGGGAATCTTCCGGCCCCAGCTTTCTAAGTTTTGGGTTTACAGGTGTGTGCCACTGTCCTGGGTGCATTTTCTACATCTTCATGCAGTACTGCACCTGCAGCAAGAACAGTGGCCGCCATCACTGAACATCTGCTCGGCGATGGCTGCAGGCTGCTTCACTCCGGTGACCTCTGGGACTGCCTGGCAGTGTCACTTTCATTTCACAGATGATATAAAATGGAGAGATCCCGGGCAGGGGGTAGGGAGGTGGAAATCAAACAAACGAGCAAAACCCTGAGTGTCAGAGAGGCTAATGGAGTTACTCAAAGTCACACAGCTTTGGTGGCACAGCTGTGACTCAATGTAGACAGCCCCAACTTTACCCAGAATGCTCTGGTTCTCTCTCCTTCTCTTTCCAGCGTCTCGTGAAGTCCAGACTAGACAGGCTGGCCTCAAATTTGCTGTGTAGCTGAGAATACCCTTCCATTCCTGATCCCCTGTTTCCACGTCCCAAGCACTGGGATCTCATCTAGTTTATGTAATGCTGAGGATGGAAGTCAGGGCCTGGTGCATTCTGGGCAAGAGCTCTCCCACGGTGTCTCTATCTTCTTGAACAATTTTCTTCCCTGATAATAAAGTTTTGAGGGTTCTTATTGAGATAAAGCATACATACATGAGAACATATTCCACATTTACTTTATTTTTAAATTGTACTTTTTTTTTTTTGAGACAGGGTTTCTCTGTGTAGTCCTGGCTGCCTGGAACTCCCTCTGTAGACCAGACTGGCCTGGAACTCAGAAATCTGCCTGCCTCTGCCTTCCGAGTGCTGGGATTAATGGTACACACTAACATGCCTGGCTTTCAAATTACATTTTACTGCTGGTGTGTGTGTGCACACTCAATCATGGCACAAAGGTGGAGGTCAGAATTCAGCTTGCAGGAGTTAGCTTTCTCTTTCCATCATGCTGCTTCTAGAGACTGGTGACAGTTGGAGCCATCTCACCAGGCTTGAGAAGATACTTTAGAAATTTACAGCTTTATCAACCAATTCCTTATATTTTTGCTTAAATTAAAAAATACTTTTGAGTTTTCCTTAAATGTGTGTGTGTGTGTGTGTGTGTATGTGTGTGTGTGTGTGTGTGTGTGTGTGTACAGGTGCCTTGGAAGCATCAAATCCCCTAGAGATGGAGTAGTTACAGGCAGTTATGAGCTGCTTAATATATTGGCAGCTGAACCCAGCCAGGTCCTCTACAAGAGTAAACAGCATTCTTTTCTTTTCTTTCTTCCTTTTTTTCCCCTCCCAAGACAGGGTTTCTCTGTGTAGTTTTGGTACCTGTCCTGGATCTCGATCTGTAGACCAGGCTGGCCTCGAACTCACAGAGATCTGCCTGGCTCTGCCTCCCGAGTGCTGGCATTAAAGGCGTGCACCACCACCACCCAGCTAGAGTAGACAGCGTCCTTAACCGCTGAGTTATCCCTCCAGGCCAATTTTTTAAATATCCGAGACAAAGTCTTGCTATGTAGTTCAGCCATACCTTGAGTTCAAGGCCAGCCAGGGCTACATGGAGAAACTCTATCTTGAAAAACAAACAAACAAAAACCATTTTTGTGTGATATCTGAACTTCTTTATTAATATTAAACATGTAACACAGGGTTTTACCCCAACAACTGCTGTTTCAAAATGGAGGTGATGCTAAAGAAGACTCCCAATAACTGAAACAGCCAGGGTGGGACTGAAAACACCTCGGGGTTTCCGTAGTTACAGTAACAGATTGTAGGACAAACCATCACTACTATTGGTCATGTGACCCTAGCCTGTAGCCTCTCACCTGCATTTGTGACTATGGGCTCCCCATTGAGTACCAAGCACTGAGTACCAAGTACTGTCTACCACACTGGTCCTGACAGCAGCTATTCATTCTGCCCTCAGACCTGCAGTTTGATCAGTGGATACAGCTAATCTCTGTCACCTCTGGGTCCCCTGGGAGATGGGGATCCCACTGGGCTCAAAACTCTGGAAGAATTTTAAGTGGCTGAGGATGACCTTGAACTCCTGATTCTCCTGCTCTGCCTTCTGAGTGCTGGGATTACAGGTGTGCACCGTCACTATGGCTACTTTTCATCTGTTAAACCACGACTCCAGCGCACATCTCATTGGCCAAAAGATATGTCCTAAGTGAGTGTCAAGATTCACTCCCAGCAACTCATGTTCACATTTGCTTACCACTGTGGTATTACTGCTCAAATCCCACCAATTGGGAGACAGAGGCACGAGGATCGGGGGTTTAAGGGCAGCCTGGGCAACCTGGTGAGACAATTTCTCAAAATAAACACTTAAAAGTGGTCTGGAAGCATGGCTCAGCATTAGAGACCTTGCCTGTAACCCACCAGTACAGGCAAGGTCCTACGCTGCAGCCCCACTGGGGAAAAACCAAAGACAGTAATTGACAGAGGGTACCTGGGTAGGTGGTGCAGGTCTGGCCCTCCGACCTGGTGGCAGTTCTAAACAGACACCCCCTCTCCAGCTAGATAAAGCCAGGTGAATAGACCTCAGGTCCTGAGTACAGGGCCATGGCCTGGGAGGAGCTGGGAGGAGCGTCTACTGCCCTGCTCACTGCAGCTCAGGTCTCAAGAAGTGTCCAGGGTCCATGTGAAGGCCTGAGCATCCAGCGGGTGAAACCATAAAGGACATGCACAATAGAGCACTATTCAGCCCTGAAACAAACAGGAAATGCTGTCATCTGCAGCATGGTAGCAGAGCCCAGAGGCCATTGTTGTGTGGAGTGGGACGAGCCAGGTACAGAGACAAGCATGACCTCACAGGTGCACCGTGAAAAGAGGGTGGATGGTGGCCACGGAGGCTGGGGATGGATGTTGAGCAACCAATGGGAGTCAGCAGGAGGAGCAGGTTTGGGTACACTGTGTAGGATGGGGTGACCATAGTCAGAATCATGCACAATATCTTTCAAAGCAGTGGGAAAGAATCCTCACCACAAACAAGGGTTGAGTGTCTGAGGTGAGGGATATGCTGACTCCCCTAATTTAATCGTTACAGGGCTTACACATACTCAAAACCTGATGTCATCATGAATAAGTACATGATGAATGGATGAATGAATGAATGAATGAATGAATGAATGAATGAATGAGTTAATGATGGTCCAAGACACATTCTGGGGTCACCTTTTCTCTCCTTGAACTTAGTGTTTCTCAGATTTCGTAAGGGGACTGTGCAGGCCCAAAGTGACTGAACCATTCTGGAGACCCAGGAACTGACACAATATAGATAATGCGCTCTCCAGAGCTCCTCCTGAAGAGTGGGGTTACCATCTCAGATGCCAGCAGAGGCTGTTGTAGTGCCACCAGGAACTGACTGGCATGGCCATCAGCCACGGAGGACCACGGAGAGTTCAAAATTCCTGGGGCATCTTGTCACTGGCTCAGAGTGTTCAGAAACAGAGCTGGATTGGGGGGTGGCGGGAGTAGGGGAGACCAGATGCGGGACAGGAAATGGGAAGAGATTTAGTGCTCCGTGGATGGACAGAGGACTTCGGGGTTTTAGTGAGATGAGAGCCGTGGGTGGATTGGGAGCTGGGAGGAACTGACTGACTTACAGATTCACAGACAGATCCACAGACACCTGCTGTTGCAATGAGACTATGGGGTTGGGGACAGACATGAGCGTGGTGAAGAGGCTCCCACAATAGCCCCAGCTAACAAAGAAGATGAGGACAGAGGTGATGAAAGACGCTAGACTGTGGGAATATTTGAAAGCACAGCAGTTGTGAGGTTAGACGTGGGAGTGTGGGTAATGACTGTTGTAACAGGGTCCCAGACGTTAGCACAACAGACTCCATGATGGAAATAACATCCAGACTGTAAAACTCAGCATGTAGACAGCACCACCTGCCAAAATTAAAACAAAGACCTAATCCACCCAAGTCCATAGCTATGGGAAAGTCTCTAAATGAACTAACCTAGCCTTTTAGCTTCTGCAGTTCTGCTACTGGATAACTGTTCTTGTTAACTGAAGTATATCAATCCCAGGATACCGTTTTTTGTTTTTTTGTTTTTTCCAGAGCTGAGGACCGAACCCAGGGCCTTGCACTTGATAGGCAAACGCTCTACCACTGAGCTAAATCCCCAACCCCTAGATACCGTTTTTTTTTTTTTTTTTGTGCTCATCCTGAGAAAGGCTCGGTGCTATGCTGGGATCCCAAATACTCAGAGTAGTCACTGGTCAGTTAATAAAGACTTTCTATTGGTTTAAACCCATGTCTGACAGTCTTCTCTAGTGAATGCCCCACAATACTGTGAGGTTTAGGGGCAGTGGGTGTTTCCTAAATGTCCCTAGGTGTTTCTCACTTCCTGGAGTTGTGAGTTGGACCATCCTTCTTACCTTGCCCCAGCCTTACACTGCTCCTGGATACAGCAGCCCAAACGTCACCCTCATCCTCCCTAAAATACGCTCTGCAAAGGACCCTGGCCCAATACAACCCATGCCTCGTGTCCCCAGACCCTCTGTCCTTCCTCTTCCTTGGAATGGACAATCAGAGATACCACCAACCACTGAGCCACAGGAAGGTTGTGGCCTTGGTTAGGCAATAAATTGGCCCACAGCAAATGATGAGAAGTTCTTCCCTTTAGCAAACATGTGTTGAGCACTGTGTGCTACACTCTTAGGTACTAGGAACAGAATGGGAAACTAGAGATGGATAAACATGCCACAACCAAGATGGCAGATGGAAGGATTTAGTGTGTCAGGTGGTGACGGAGGAGAAGGTAGAGTTCTGCATGGGCTGTTGTGCTGAGCACTCAAGGCCTACTCATACGCAAGCAGGTACCAGTGCTCCCCTCTTTTTTTTTTTTTTTTTAATGCCAAATGCTGTTTATTGAAGGAGGGAAGAGGTCTTAAATACAGGCTTACAGCACAATGGGAGAACCCCAGAGGGCAGAAGTTTGCTACGATGTTTTACAATCTTGCATCTAAGCTGTTAACGCCCATTATGCAGGATACACAGACAAGGAACTTCCCTTAAGCATTCAGGAGGGTGGAACCCGGCAGGGAATTAGCATAGGGAGGATATCAAGGTCAAGGTCAGCAAGCAAGGCAACAGTTACCCAAAATGGGGGTCAGGACCCTACAGGTCCCCCTTTTACTAAAAAATGAGCTTCTGATTTAGGGGACATAAGCAGGTCACCTTACCTGTCATGGAGATGCCTGTCCAGGCCACACAGGCACTCTGTCTTAGGTTAGTGAGCGCCCCCCAGGCATTACCTGTCTCTGAATACTCATTATCATACAGGCTCAATCATGTGTGAGCTGCAGAATTAACTGCTGCCAAAGATCTCAAAGTGGCGCTGGGCTTGCAATCTGTGTGTTTGACACAGAAAAGACCAACAGAAGTCCTAACCATAGTCAGTAGGCTAAAGGCAACTGAGCCATTCCCTTCCTTAATGAGCCTTACTGCAAATTGGAGTTCTTGTAAGATGGTATTCAAAAAGCAAATGGAACTTGAGTTTATAAATTTATAATTTTCAAAGCCAATCGAACTGTATATAACTATTGAATTAAATTTATCATGCCCAATAGAATGAAAGATTAACTAACTGTGGTAGCTACTTTTGCTGCCAGGGTCTCCACTGTGCTAGCTCTAGTAAGCAACTATGAAATGCTTCCCTCTTTTTCATGGAGTAAGGTCCACTGTGTGACTAGGCCACATCTGGTCTGTCCATTTATCTGCTGACAGGCCCCAGGGTTGATCCATATTTTTGCCGGGGGCGGGGGGAATGCTGTTGGGGACATTTTAGTACAAGGTTTGGGGTTTGATTTTAGTTTTTTAAACAAAACAAAACAAAAGGTCTTGTGCGGTGCACACCTTTAATCCCAGGCTCAGGAGGCAGAGACAGGCAGATCTCTGAATTCGAGGCCAGCCAGGGCCTCATAGTGAGACTTGTCTCAAAAAATAAACGAAACAAGAAGGGAAACGAAAGGAAAACCAAGCCCCAGGAGCACAGGCTGGCTTTGAACTCGGGCTCCTCCTACTTTACCTCCTGTGTGCTAGGATTCCAAGTGTGTGCTGCCAGGACTCACAAGAATAAGTTTTCATGTGGACTAGCTGGGCCACATGGTGCCTGTGTTTAGCCCTCTGAGTAACCGCCTGGTTGTTTCTTAAGGCGGCTTTGAAGGTCCCAACCTCTGATGTGGGGGATACGGCGCTATGCCTCAGCAGCAGTTATCACTTACTTTCAAGCTCATCTGCCCTGCCCGCCACAGCCAGCTGAGCCCATGTCTCCCTTCCTGTACTCCAGCTCTCTACAGCCATTTGGTACTCCCCGGGCTGAGGGCGCACCAGAACCAGTTTCTGCCCCCACTCCCAGCTCAGTATTTTTCAATAGCTCCAGGAGGCTGAGAAACAACCCAAATAAATAAATGCCTTGCACGCACTGCACTCTGTGACATCACTCACTTCCTACTCTCCTGCAGTTTGGAGGTGGCCATACAGCCTCCCACTGACCTCAGGACACGCTGACTCTGCCCCCAGGGTTGTGCCCTCTGACAGCGTACTTTGTCCTGTTTTTTTGCTCACCTCTGTCTCCCCTCTCCTATCTGTGCCTTACCATCACTTCCCAAAGACACTTGCCCTGATTCCTTTCCTTCCCAGACTAATCTTCCTTCTTCTCTCGTCTGGCTTTGTTTGAAGTGTCCTGTCTACTTGTGTGACAGTCGACCTGAGGATTATCACTCTAGGTCTTGTGAAGGAAGGAAGGAAGGAAGGAAGGAAGGAAGGAAGGAAGGAAGGAAGGAAGGAAGAAAGAAAGAAAGAAAGAAAGAAAGAAAGAAAGAAAGAAAGAAAGAAAGTTTAGGGGCTGGGGAAGTACCTCAGTGAGTAAAGTGTTGTCTGCACAAGTATTAGGACCCACATTCAGATCTCA